CTTGGCATGTGTTTGCCAGTTGTGCATTTCTCGTCAGGACACATAATAATAAAATCTGGCCAATTAATTTATAAAAACAATTTGCCTTGTAATAGCCAGGACCGGACGGAAAACGATTATTTACGTATTTTTTCATAATTTTGTATAGCAATTTATAACTGTTTTCAACTTTATTAATCCGGACTACTTAGAAAAATTGCTAATAAACTAGTTTTGCGTCGCAAAATTATATGTTAGTCTCGGTTTTATGCAACATTTTCAKACAGTTTTCATCATTTCGTTATGAATTTATCGTTTGTCTTATCTTTTGTCTGGAGTTAATTATTACTTGCCTCTAGAATTTTTTTGACTTGGCTTTATTCTTAATTTGACCCWAATAAAATATGTATTCTTTGATGTACCAAATAGCAAGTTCAATTTTAAGAAACTAAAAAGAGATTTACAAATATCTGGTGCAATTGACATAATAGAAATTTTAAATAAGATTCAACTTGGAAAATTTAGTCGTTTTCGCAAAAATAAGTCTTCTAAGTTTGTGAGTATGCAAGTTTCTGTCAACGGAAGGAGTATGTTTGACTAAATATAATTGTAATATTCCGGAAGTCTAAAGACTAAATCAAAGTTAATAGGGTTCTTAAATAGGAGGTATCGATGGACCTGACGTAAACATGGAAAATGTCCTGTGCTACTCCCAAGTAACTTTTTGTGATATTTCCTTAGAGCCAAATGTATTTTCGTCTTGATTATTCTTGAATGTGTTATAATATTTACAATTATCATTATTATTTACTGCGAATATATTTTCAGTCAGTTGTAAAACTTGCCACCGAAACTGGTGCCTGCTAATTAATATGGCGTCATTAATGCTAATTAAATGCCACTTCCAAATTTTTCCGATTAAAAACCTGCCACCTAAATGCATTAAAAAGCTGAAGCCTCGGGTCGAAACGTTCACAAATATCGGCATACTTAGCGCATAAGCTGAAATAAAATTGGGATTTTATTACGAATTTATAGCGTGGCAAGAATTCGTAGTATAGCTAATTTAGACATAACACCAGGCTTGTTTTAATCGATAAATTGCGAACTAATGTCTGTTTTGAAAGCGGCCAGACTAAATTATTAATTTAAAACGGCCAATCGTCACGACTTAGCGCCGATCTGGAGTAAGGATCGACCTGATCTCAGGTTACCCTCGGTATGTTGCTTATTATTATCGTTTCTTGTAACATATATGTATGTTTTGGTACACAACATTGTCTGATTAATAACAAAACACCTGCCAGCGACCGATTAAGTTGAGCTCCAAAGTTTGGACCAATTAAAAGCAAAGTTGGAAGCAATTCAATTATTTATATCATGCCCTTTATGTGCCTGATGTATGTATGTACATCAAATTACAAAAAAGTTAACGTAGGTGTGTATAAAAAAGAACTTTTAAATATTGAACATTTTGAATTTATTTGCAATGTAAAACGGACGCTGATTGTCAAAATAGTTACAACAAATTCACGCTACAAAAAATATTGCAAGAGTTTCGTCAAGAAATGTTTGTATGTCTCAATTTTTTTTAATGTGGGTCATAGAATGCCAATAGCCTTATAACATAAAGAAGAAGTAAGCTGAAAATCCGCAAGTAAATTCTATTGAAAAGAATTACAAGTTCAGACAATATTTCTATATTTCTCAGTCATTTACTATTATTATTATCATTATTTTTTCTGTTACATATTCTTCTAATTTCTTTCTGTTTTCAAGTTTGTACTTGTATCTGTTAGGAGGGTACAAATGTTAAGCGAAACGTGTTCAGTAAAAGATAATTCTTGAGAAGGGCTATAGAGGAACACTAATTAAAAGTTTTGAACTGTTTTAGAAACAGAAATTGTTTCATTATCGTTTCTATCGCTTTAGACGTAGAAATTTCAGAGAAAACCTACTTAATGACAGTTCCCAAAAGGCTCTAATAACAAAACAAATTCATAATATTATATGAAAAAAATAAACTTTTTTTTTACTTTTTCAAAAATCTGCAAATTAAGGTTTGACTTAAAAGAGGGCGTTATTCGGTGAGTAGTCGGCGTACCGAGTCTAGTTGATTGATAGACACAAGGTGAGCCAATGTGCACACGCAAACTTTCCCACCTAAAGAAATTACTATTTTAAAGCAAAAATTTTGTAAAAAGATACTGGAAACGTTTTTGTTTTTGAAATATACGGTTTCAAAAATAATCTTTAATTTACACATTTTTCGAGCTACTTTATATATTTTTTAAATTATTGCAACAAAATATTGTACTTCTTGTACTTCCAAATGTGCTCAAACGTTGGCGATAAACAACGTCACCTGCGACTTTCCCAACTTTTAGTACATCGTTTTCCTTAATTTGTTTGGCCCATTTTTTCGTCTAGGAATATCTCAGTTAAACTCGCCTATTTTGATTAAATTGATGTTTAATGGTAAATTAATTCAAAACTACGACGCTACTTTAGATGTACGAAAAATCTACAATAATTGAGAAGAATTATCAAATTAAAAGTTTTTTGCTGAATGTCGAGCTCAGAAACGTTTTTCCTCGATATTCGAAAAACCGTTTCCGAGACATTTTACATAAGACATTGAAAAAAAAATAAAATTTTCGATTTTCCTATAAACCGACCCACCCTGTGCATATGATTAAGGCTGAAACCTTAAATCCTAATACTAAAATAAATTTAATTGCTGAAACATGTCAATTTTCAGCCCATAAAAGACATACTTCAAACGAAATATTTGAAGCAGATCTTCCTGCAACTTTAAAAGAAATGCTTTATACCACACATCCCCTTAATGTCTATTTTAAACCAGTCATAATTATAGGTTTACCCTTATTCTGTCACTTAATCGCTGAGCACATGTAACTGCAAAGAAGTTTTCAATAGACCTTTTGCCCCTTTATAAATGAGGGATATTAAAGTTGCAAGGACACAACATTAAAGCATCACCCCCGTTTCCAGAAATAGGCAAATGTTCCCTAATATCAACTTATTTTTGACTTTCTGACATTCGTGATCGATTAAACCCGGGGATCCTCAAACTAATGCACTCGTTTGCTGAAAACTTAACACATTTACCCTGTTCGATCGGCTTTTAAGGACTTTTAAGGCTAAATTTAGCATTTCAGTTAGAGATGTAATTTATATGCATTAAGTTTGGGTTTTCGGGTGATTTTCCACAAAATCTACGCATAGAGGACTTATGGGCTTTGAAGGGGTTAAGCTGATGGGTGAAACGAACACTTTCGACTTTTTTAACGGAAAATCTTAAGCTCCTTAGGTAGTTTCGACCAAAAACAACAACAGAAACGTGACTTAAATATTAGTGTTTAAATCATCTATAAATATAAACTCAACAAATCTACATTTCTTTTTCAACTTGTCCCAATGTAAATAAATCAGAAATAATTTTTCTTTTAACTTAATTATCTATATGAAACCTTAAAATTTAATCAGCCTTTAATTAATAAATAATTTTGTAAAAGTCATTGCCAAGACAGATTAACCGATGTGTCCCCTATACAAGCCTGATTCTAATTTAAGTTTAATTGCTACTAATTAAGTTATTTAAGTGTTCGCGATGTTCTCATAGGATCAATATGATGATTTTCAAAACAAAACATACATTTATATTGAAAATGTACGTTCAGCTAATGAACCTATTAGTATGGAGCTCTAAAATGTACGTTTAATTCGTATTTGTCATTTAAAAAACATTATCACACAGTTGCTGCCTCTGGACTAATTAATTATACAACGAATTGAGTGTTTCGGCTTTCAACAGAACATCGAAATAGCCGCTTTATCCATAGCTTATAGCTTTATGGAGGGACTAGACTTGTGGATAAATTATCGCCTGCAGAAGTAATTAAAACATAGATAATTTTATGAAGTAAAAAGTTCTCCGAGCAATGCCTATCAGCTTTGGAAAATGCCCGTTTGCTATATTATAAACCCCCTTTTTTTTCTAGCAAAACCTTTTTCTTTTTAATAGATTTATCATCCTATGTCAATGTTTTAGTTGCGACAGGAAGCCGCAACAAATAATTACAGCAATTAATGTAGATAATATATTCAGTAAAGCGAGTGAATTGAAGCCATAGCAATAACCACAAACAAATATGGTTTATCATTTAAATAGGTATTCGATATTCCTAAGAAGACTGTGACAGAAATAGAAGCAGGAAGAAAACAAAAAAAGGATGAAGAACAGTGAGATATTATTTTCGAGGAAAAGTCTTAGTTCTAATAAAAGGAAGAAACTGTAAAGCATAATCTGGTTGTTGCAGGATCTAACTTGTTGGCATAAATGGACATATTTGACTTTAGCAAAGTCTAAACAGTTAAAAAATCCAGTCGTTCTTCATCCAAGAAATAAAGCCTTGTATGACATTCGGATTTCGCCCTTCTTACTCCACCTCGTTATTCCAGACTAAATAATGTATTCATATAAAAAGTACGATTGTTCTGATGGTCAAAATCAATCAAAGCCTTAAATGAAATGTAACGTTTAACATTGTATACAAGTGGACATGTAGATTAAATGGTAATGATTTTCCAGAGCTTTGTGAAATAAAATCCTTTGTTTTCTTACGTTTACCGCCCGAAGCCAGTTTGTTTACGCGGACGGTGCAGATCAAAGTTACTTACATCGTTAATTCAGTATCAAAGGAACTATCATTTGATGAATTAAGACTTTACAGCGCGTATACAGTTGGATCTTATCCATTGAAATGCTTTCATTTACTTTAATAATATTTTGATATGTTTTACGACCGCGATTTTGGTTTGTCCCGAATGCTTTACCGTCGCACATTTAGTATATTCCAATGATAAATAATTCTCAAAGATGATTTATGGACGACGGTGCTTAATAAGCTGACAATTCCCAAGTGCGTTTATAGCTGGACTGGTTTAGATTCTAATTGAAAAATTGCCAACGATCATGTCTAACTGAACTGTCTTACCTGACGCACCTGTTTGAATTGTTCTTCGAACGACCATGTCTGTTGGGAGGTAGCACTTTCTTCAGATGAATGTGAACTCTCTGAAGAAGGGCGTTGGTTTGGCGGAGCAACCGGAGGAAGAAATGCACTAGCGGGATGGGAAAAATTGAATGGAGCGGGAAACTGCTCTCCTTCTGTAGGACGATGGTCTATCAAAAATGTTGGCTGATTTCTGGGCTTCTGAACATAGTCATCCTGAAACAAAGATATCATTTTATTTTCTAATTGTATGTACTTGTACATTCTAGTTAGACTTGGGATATTGATATATTATAATTAGATTTGAGTTTCCCACACTCCAATAAAGTTTTGGTGGTGCACCTACGTCTAACATTAACTACCTTTTTATATTTTTTCAGTATTTAAAATTGCGCTTTTGAATAAAGCTGGGCAAATAATAACATTCACTAGTGATATTCATTATTATGCAGGCAATATTACCTTTTCTGTATTCACTCACACATTGCACAAAATTCATTTAGGTAAACACATTTTTAAAACTCTACTAAAAATAAAATGGTTTTTGGCCTGGTTGACTATGTTTTAGCTAAACGCTTTGAAGGACCGGGTCTGCCTGATTGAATCGGTTCAAAATTGAAGTGATCTTAACTCTCTAACTTTACTTTTTCTTAGCCATGCCTTTCCAAAGTCCATAATTAATGGCAGCACACTTCCTTAATGAAAATAGTGAAATAACACATGCAAAGTTCGTGCGTGTTATTTGTTTCAACGATCCCAAGCTAATTCAGATAAATGATCTTGGTGGAATAGTTGCATCGAACTAAATGCAAATCTCACGAGAGGAAAATTGCGATAGTTGCCCTAGGGTGAATAAAAGCCAATCGAGAAATTAATCTTGATCAGTTAATAGCTTTTGTCTCTCCGTGATATAGTGGCTGCAAATATTAATATCTGTCCGGAGCATCCATAAATTTCTGACAATAAAATGCCCGGTATGTGATAGCCCAGTTCGAAGAATTCCTCATTGACAGGACCATTGATTTGTTTGCCTAAGATTATATCGGGAATTCGATGAAGACAAATTTGTCGATTGTTGCCCAGTCACGCATGGTGTAATTACAAAGGTTTTGCAGAAATGGAAACAGAAAGGCACTATTTCTAATTAGGAGATAATTTCTTGACCCAAGAGCAATTGAACAAGCCAACCTGTCTTGAAGATTCGGTCTGCATAGTAGTACGAAAAACAGAACGTTTATTACCTAGGTACCAAGCTTTCGGCAGTTTATTTTTTGCATTCATCAGGGCTTCAAATATTAGAATAAAATTACAAATTGCGCTATGAAGCTATGGGAACGCACTCAATCTAGGAACAATGAATCCAATTTATCAGTCTCTGCAGTGACTCGAGAGTTTAAACAAAAAGGTAATCTGTAAAAGTAGCCTATTTAGGTTTGTGGGTTTTTCGTTCAATAGATGGTAGCAAAAATAAAACACAATTTTTTAACCAAAAATAGCCTAAAATGGAAACAAAGCCTAAATAGGCCTCTTTTACTGATGATCATCACGGTCACTAATTAACCACAACATAAAAAGGTAATCTGTTTAATAGAAAAGTGCGATCTTCTCCCCTAACCGGTTAAACATCATCCTCCCTACATGCCAAGTCTTCAAAAAGACTCCCTGGTAAATTGGATGCCAAATGAGACACTCATATTCCAATTTGTATCTCACAAAACTGAAGTAGCGTTTTTAATGTCTGAGGGTTCGACATTTTATTTGATTTATCTGATTTTGCAATTCTATAAAATTGTGAATAGTAACAACCAAGTTGTCAGCAAACTGGAGCTTAATGAACTCAATAAGTTTAGTAAGGTCACTTATCACTTAAGTATCAGAAGAAAGATTAGCCCCAAAGAAACTTTGTAGTTCCGAGTAGTTAAACTTGACTTTACAGTAGAACCAGCGTTTCCAAAATTTCCATGGCAATAAAGGCATTGTGGTCGATTTGCTATATTGAAACGCTTTCTGGAACCCCCTCCCCCCATATATGCCAGGTCCATCTGAGGAAACTGATGCAGCGTAGTGCAGATGTTCTGCGAAAAACAAGCTAAGTTTGTGGCACATGATCTTCTCTGCAAAAACCCATGCCGTACAGCCGATTTAAAGTTTCCACTTTGTGAGTTAATTTGATGAAAAACGTACTAATCAAATGGTGGTCAATGATTAAAATTAACATGTCTGTAGAAGAGCGGTGGGCGAACGAGGAATACGACATAAATAAGATATAAATAATAAGAAGAATTAAAATAGTAAGAATCTTTACCTGTTTAAGGTAAGTGCTTCCTAAACCATTGCTTACCACCCCATGGATGTCCCGAACTTGCATTTTCAGCTTAGTCAGGACATCGTTGTGATCAGCAAGAATTCCATTTCGTGTCAACTCATCGCAACTCTCTTGATCTTGCTCAGTACCGGAGTGCGGTTCCCCGTCACTTATATCATCAATATTTGACTGGAAACAAAAAAAAACCAAAAATAAGCAAGATGCATAATTAAACATACAAAGAAAAAAAGGAAAAATTAAACATAATTATCTGGACGCGTCTCAGTTTCCCCCTATGTAACTCGATAGAGTGTGAAGTCTTATCGCGCGGTTTTATAGAAGAAATTAAGCTATTTCCTACTAATCAATGTAGTCTGTGTCGTATTACCAACACTTATTGCTTCAAGAGGGTATTTTAACACGCATATCAATGTAACCTGCATCTTTTAAGCAGATACCTTTCTTCTAGAATGTTCTCATTTTACTAATAGCCAACAGACGGATTATTTCAAAGCTACTAACAAATTACAAGAATTTCTGTACAAAAACACCAACGATATTAACTTAGCTACAAGCAAAGACTATACGAGGCCACTAAACATTCCCATTCGATCGCAATCAAACGTTGTTGCCTGATTTGACATGTTGCTAAACTTTCAAACCAAAGTAAAATTTGTTAGTGTAGTCTGTGTATTAGTAAGTCAAAACTTTTCGTCAAACGTTTTCGCCGTAAATCTTATTGGATAAATTATTCCCTTGTCACTGTATAAGCGTAGATTATTTTTTTTTGGGACACATATTATTATCCTTTCCTTTGCTTAAACTCTTGCTTCAGCTCTTCATGCCTAGACCAGATTCTAATAGAGATACGCAAATTAGGGAAAGGATAGGAATCAGCTCCTGGAAACTGTCAATTATTAACAACGAGTATTAACAACTTAGTAGCAAGCTTGAAAGCTTGATACTAAGCTGTTAATACTCGTTCGCTTCGCAGTTGATGAGTGTTGGCTTAAGCAATGAGCGCAGCATAATTCTGTAAACGTTAAAAGAAAAAAGGCAAATCAAGCTATTCCCCGTTGTCACACTTGCAAAATATTGCATTTCTCCGAGACAATTGCTTTTTGTTCAATTTTCGTTAAATCCGCTGCATGAGTCTTGGTGATACACCGACATTCTTTTCTCACGAGTTCCTGAAAAAGCCCTTAAATCGGATTAGACATATAATCTTCCGATATTCTTTTTCCTTTCGGAAATTCAAATTTTATACCTGTTATCTTTATTTGCAAACATCTGCAAGAATCTTGTCACATGTGACTTTCTGCTCAGGTAGAAACTTAAGTTGCATTTCGATACTCTGTTGTTCTTTTCATGTGTTTATAAAAACAATGCGCACTAGTTCGATCAATAATGGTATAAAAACGTACACGCCCAACAGGCCAAAGTACACCCTTTCAACCCTCACGAACACGATATAAAATATAAATATTCTGATAAGAATTCCGTGCGGTATGTGGTTGCCATAATTTACCATCGACTGCATCAAATGGGCAATTTCTATTGACGCCACTGGTTTTATCATCGTATTATAGAGTCGGTTTACAAATTTTGGGTGTGTATAAGGAATGGGATCGGACCACCCTCAGCTTCAGCATCTTGCTAGGTCTATTGTCACGATTGTTTGTCGATTCCCGAAAAAGCTCAAGATTGCATTTATACGAAGGCCGGTGGTTTCAATCACGAATTTCTAAAGCTTAGTCTATTCGAACATCATTTATTAACAGTATGTAAGGTGACATTTACCAGAAATACAAAGCAGAATCCTGCTGATTAAGGTCACCATATGAGTTTATCGAATTAAGCTGGGCCTCCCTAGTCACTAACCATAATTAAACAGTTTTAAACAGTTAAGCGGCCTACTCACACGGCATCTCCAGGGTACAATTTGCATGGCCCGATCTGTACAGAAATCGGGTCTATCCGCCAAACGTAGCAATTTATCAGTGCTGTTTTGAGCGGTGCTTTAACATACTAGAGGCTCCTTTAAGGCGTCAAAAATTGGGATTGCGCTTGCTGTTCAAAATAATACTGTTCAAAACAATGATTTTTGAAAAGAAGTTACGATTAATTGTATATGGTAACTGGAAGAAGTTAGAAAGATGACTTAAAAGTTAGCGCAATAGTTTAAAACTAAAAAAAGTGAATCAATTATAAATTAACCTATTCACACGCTACCAGAAACATATAAATTGAGTCCAACTGTTCTGTACACCATACGATTTGCAGGCAATTGAACAGGGGAGCAGGGCGATTGTAGTCTCGAGATGACCACCAACTAGCCTATATCGGAAAGTCGTTAAAGACCGTTTTACAGTCGGCAATTTTATTGCCCGCAACTTTCTTGCAGGCAATATTTCGTTCTACGCTTGCGCATTTTATCGCTTCTCAGTTGTCGGCAACTTTTATTGCACTTGCCGGCTATAGTGCCAAACCTAAAATTTGTTGCAGCTAGCCGCAATTTTAGTGACTTTTCTGGTTCTTTTTATCCTGCCAACTGTTCTCTCATATTAATATAAACCACCATCACTGGCATATTTGTGATTTTTTGCATCAAGATCACTTTCGAAAAGTACCCATCTGCTGCGCTGTTTAAACATTACAATAGGTATGTAAATCAAAAAGTGTGGGTTCGATAAAATAAAAACACTTCAAAATTGAGGCTTTTCATATAAAAAATGCAAAAGGGGAGGCAAAATAAAAAATCCAATCTTATCATATGAGCACATTTTAGTGAACCTTAGAACCCCTAGAGTTAATTCCTAAAACTCAACGAAACAAACATAGAGACAGCACAGAGTACCCAATAGGTATATCGAATATAAATTTGTAGCCAAACCTTTTAGAATCCATTGAACATATTTCAAATGTTTTTTACCAACCAAACAGTTGTTTTATTTGTTTAATTACGAAAGTTGTTAATTAGGAAATTATTCCAACATCTATAAAAAAAAGAATTAATTCTACATATCTATATAGAATTTTAAATTACGCATACGTCCTATTTAATTATGTAGTTGCATTCAGTTCTCAATAGTATCCACATATTAAATGTGATCAATAACTGTTGCGATTCGTTTTATACAATGTTAGACCCGGATGATGCAGAAATACATGAAATGATGGTTCAAGTAGCTGACCTAATCTTACACAGATATTACGAGCGTGTATTCTTCCACTAAAGCTCATTTTGCATCTGAAGATTGTGGTTATCTGGCGAAATGTCTGGCGTTTTAAAAACCTCCAAATGTTATTGAGATTAAGTGGAAAAAGCCTCAGATTAAACAGATGCATTTGTTTACATTTTTCGATGAGGACAACAATGGTTCACAGTCTATATAATAGTAGGTACTTACGAGAGCTGCTTTACCGGCTCGGTATTCAAGTTGATATATATGAGTAGCATCAACAAGAAAATATCAAGGAAGGGTAGCCATTAGGGTATTTAGTGTTGTACTTGTTTAGTTTGTAATAAGCTACAAGTAAATGTCATTAAAAGAACAGCGTTGAAATTTACTTTTATCTCTACCACCTATTTTTCATTGATGAATCGCCGATCGATAGAATTCAATGTTGGTTCCAAATAAATCGGGATCTATGAATGACTAGCTTGGTCTATTTATTAATGTCTTTGGAAAAACTACAAGTTCGCACAGTAGAAAAACAGAGTTTACATCAAATGTGTCTTTCATGTTATGAGAAGTTTTATGAGACAGACAAGGGACAAAAAAATAAAACTGACTGAAAATAGATACATCAGCCACCACAGGCTGTAGCCAAGTCCCTTTTTAGGGCTCTTCGATGGAAACCTCTACATTTTCGGTACCTATTTGTACAGAGTTTGAACCAATTTCAACTCGTAAGCAAAGAAACAATATAGTTGAACTAATACGCAAACTATGGGTGCTATTTAAACAACCAGTGTTAGATCGAGTCGCTAGGAGATTTTAAAATACTGCATTGAAATATATGAACCAGTCTAGCTTACATAAACAACCAAAATGATTATCTATAATAGACTGCCTTCGTTCACTTTACTTCTATTTCTTCAGATAGAAACATTTTTCAGCCAGTCGCGAATTGGAACTTCTTCCTGACGTTTCGCAAGCATAACTGACTTGCACCTTCAGGTGTCGTTTGCTCCATCATTACAGTGGAACTTCTGATCGTTCAATCAAAAACTCCAGCTTCGCCAAAAAACCAGTTCCAGTGTTGTTTCTCTTAATACTCCATTAAATTTTGAAGAAATGAACTAAAAATTTCTTCTCCGAAAAAACGTCTCAGCTATCAAGAACATGTAAGTGGCAAGGCCACAATCGACTATAGACAAATCGCTCTTCAAATACAAAAGCTGCCCTTGAATAAAGCCCATGTTGACCCTATAGAGAACCGTAACATATGTTGCACAGCAATGTTTAAAGAGCGATTAATAACACGTTTTTCGACTATTTTTAATTGGGGTCAAACTGGTTTTATTGAAATATTCTAACAGGGTGAATCAGAGTTCACTTAATTTCATTTGAGAAGCACAATTTGTACAACCGATTCAGGAACCTTTGGCCAATCATCTTGTACATATATTTTTCTATACTGTGGTTTTCCTTCTTTTAACCAATATAGCAGGTTCAAAACTGAAAAAATTTAATAATTAAAAAATGGGAAAAAAGTTGCAATTTTCAATTATGACATGTCATGCAATTCAGAAGGGGTAGGGGTAAGAGTTGAAAAAATGCATTTAAACTATGTGCTTTTATTTAAGATTGAAGAGTTTAAAAAGGAATGATTTGTAATAAGAACAAAATTTATAATCCATAAAGATTCCACAATTTTTAAATATTATGACGGAAAACACAGTGGCAAAACAGTAAACAGAGAAACATTAGTGATTAACAAAAGCAAAAATTACCTGAAAATATTTCAATTATTAACAGCTGCGTAATAAGAACCAAACGAATCAAGCTTCATAAGTAGTTGTAAGGGTACACCAATTCCCTTATAGCAGTTAACTTTTCAAATTTAGCCGATCTACTTTCTACCAAGAAAACGCAAAATCAACCAAATACAATTAAGTATGGGGTTCTCTTTTGTGAAAGACACCTGTTGAATATAGAGGTTCAAAGCGTGCCGTTTAGTAA